TTATGTTCCCCCAGATTTGGAAAGCTCCTAATTATCCAACGGTATGGTTACAGAAATAACAGTTATATGCTCAACCGTTTCATTTTAAACAAAACGTAAACAACATGGTGTTGCTGAACAAGGTTCACTTTTGCCCCTCGCCCAGAAAGCCAAGAACCAAGACGACGAGGTTGCAGCAGAGAGAGGGTTTAATCACAAGGCAGCCAAGTGAGGAAACCGGAGAGCGAGTCTCAAATCCGCCCCTCCGAAAATGAGGACTCAGGCATATTTATGGGGTTTGGGGCAAGGTGGTCTCAAGTGTGGAGATAGGTGATTGGAGGTGAGGAGAGGTGAGGTAATTGGTGAGCTGCACAAGCGTAGTCAGACCCCATGCCTCTTCATAGGATGCATGTTCACAAAATGGCGGCGTTAGCATGATCTGAGGGTGGAGTTTTTAGCCTCCTGACGTCAAAAGGTCCCTAACGGGGCATCTGTGTGGGCCCAGTTGATGGGTTGGTGGTCTCAACCCGCCTGAAGTGGACAAGGGGTCCTAATTCCTGAAAAGCAGCTCCCACACCCATTGCCATGGTGACCAGGCTCCAGGGAGATGTTATCTATAGGAGCCTACAGGGAGTCAGATAGCATATTGCCTCAGCAGCACAGTTAACTATGGGCGAGGAAATAAATAAAAACGATAATCAGTAATAGCAAAAAAAGAAAAACCTTTAGTTACTAGTATGTAATCATCAGTGGCTAAGTGTTTACCTGTTTCAACTGGCTCTGAGAAGCCATCCCTCAACTGCCCCCAACCCTGGCCTGAGGTCACTTCCCATCCTCTGTGTGCAATCCCCCCATCAGCCATAGTCCAGGTGGGTGTCTTTATCGCTGCACCCAACAGGTCATGTTATCTTGCTCTCTTCACATCTGTCTTAGTGCAAAAGGGGACTTCATCTTACTCATTTTGGGGTCCCTGTGCCTAGCACAGTGCTTTACATAACAGATGCTTAAAGAGTGACTGTTAAATGAGTACACGCCTAGGAGAATGTGTTAATTAGGACAATGTTAAGGACCAATTTGCTTATTAGACAAATATTCAAGGGGCTTTTAGTGCTCTTGGCATTGCAGTCCGATAGCTCAGATGGAGTCTATGTTAAAATAGCTTTTTTTCAGTTAACCTGGGAACCTGGCCATCATTGGTAATACTGTTTCTGTGAGAAAAATAAAAGTCATTCTGTTTTTAAATAGCCATCTTCCAGATGAATCTTAGGTCACAGTGTATTCCTGATTTAAGGACGGCCTGCACTTTCCAAAATGCCCCACGCTGAGTAGTTTCTACCCATGATTTGACTGAGTTGGCCAGAAAAAGTTCCTTTCCAAAAATTGGGCCTAGACACAGAGAAGGCTCACATTTTACCCTTTACTAGGTAAATTCCGTGAGCTGAGTCTGGATGTACACATTTCAGTCCTTTTCAAAATATAGAATTTAATTTTTTTTCCCTAACAGTTTCATCGGTCACCGAGGCAGATATTTCGGCCAATGTTTAAAACAACGGCTAGTCCTGGCGTGGTGCCAGAGTGTGCCAGGCATTGCTGAGTGCTGCTATTATTCAGTGTCCCTTTCTTCTTCCCAGGAGCCTCAAAAAACCCACAGCTGATCCTGTACTAAAGTCAGAAAAAGCAAATAAGAGGCTGGACATGAGGGCAAAACTATCTTCACTCTATCCAGAGAGGAGCCAGCGGTTTCCTTTTCCTGGCCACCAATTAACATAAAATTATATAAATGAACTAGAACTCGCTGAATTGTGAGGGCCCTGCAAAAAGAGCCACAGCGCTGAGCAAACCAGCTCCCTGCACCAGTATCCACTTCTCAGACGGGAGTTAACAGTTAACGGTGCAGGGAGAAGGGCCGGTGCATGGGAACAGGGCTGCTGCAGCCACAGGGCACTGTCTGGGAAAAGAATTTGCATTGAAAAGATTTAAATAGATAGGGTTAGCAAGAACTGAAAACAAAGGATTCTGGCTGGAGAGGCGGAGGAACGGGGATGAAGTTTATAGAAAGACAATAGATCGTGTCATTCTCTCTCTTCGGTGCTTGTTGGTTCAGAGAAGGCATGGAACATCTTTGGTCCAAACAAGAATGCAGTACCCTGTCCCGCTGCTGAGCAGTCAGCAGGCGGGGCCTCTGCGTGCTCTGAGCTCCCCACCCTCCAGGGACTTTAGGAGCACAAGGTGACTTGTGCTTTCTTGTGTCTGGAGAAGTAATGGCCTTCCTTTAAGAGCAAGGGAATAAAGGAGCTAAAAGCTTGCTTGTTTTATAAACAGATAACCCCCAAGGGAGAGCCACTTTGAGAATGATTTTTCTAATACAGCTGTGCCTCCAACGCATAGAAAACTAAAACTTCCAGCTGCAAGTATTTGAAGAAATAATTTAGTTATCCAAGGAAAGGACAGTCACAATTTCTCGAATGCCGACACCAATTTAAGGAGCCTATGTGCTCTGCATCCACACTAGATTTTCATCTGAAAAACTGCCTCTGCTTGGTAAATGAAAACGGAGATTCTTAGGAAATAAGGACTTCATGGTCTTTTTAGAAGCTTCAGATCCCAGATGCTGCTGATGGGTCTTAGTGCTGCGCAGAAGCTCAGGCAGTCGTCCGTTCCTCCGTTACAGTTTCCATAATAAGAGATAGCCGCTGGCATTTTATACCATTCTGTTATCCCAGAGGTTTATGGTTCGGGAAAATACAGTTATTTTAACCCAGGTATAAATTCTGTGCGGGTCATTCTGCAGTTTCAGCCTTGAGAGACGTCTTCACACAGAAGAATGTTTTCCTTTCTCTTATCAGCAACACGCACACAAGCCATTTCTCCCGGAACAAGACAGCTTATCTTGCTACCATAAGATGTATTTGGTAATTTATGACTCTAGAATCTAGAAACTAAAATGTAGTTTAAAAAGATTGAAAGAAGCCAATCTGAAAAGGCTACAACGGTATGATTCCAATTGTGTGACATTCTGGAAAAGGCAAAACTATGGAGACAGTAAAAGATGAGTGGTTGCCAGAGGTTAGGGTGGAGAGAAGGAGGGATGACTGCGGACTGCGGGGCAGGGAAACTGGCCTTCTGTAGGATCCTGTGACGGTGGAGACACTGTGCATTTCTCAGCCCACAGAATATGCAACACAGAGAGTGAACCCTAGTGTAAGCTAAGGACTTCAGTTGATGATAATTGGTTAATATTGGCTCATCAATTGTAACAAATGTGCCACACTGAGATGTTAATAATACGGGTGGGGACGAGGGGGTATATGGGAACCCTCTTTACTTTTCACTCGATTCTTTTTGGAAACCTAAAACTGCTCCACAAAGTCTATTAATTAAAAAAAACGGCAGGTCATCCTCCTGGCATCATCTCCATGGAGGCGGGGGAGGAGGGGATGGTGACGTCCTTCTGTGGTACCCAACATGTGGCCTCAAGCAATTGCGTGGTTATCGGTGTATGAAATCTCCTTATCTTTCTGGTGGTCCTTGTTATTACTAGTTTCCATGTTTAAAAACAAACCAAAAAGAAGAAGAATACAGAATTAGCTTCCCCTCTTCTCAAGAAGTTCCTGTTTCTCAGTCAGAGGTTCCCTTACACCCCTTCCAGAATCAAAGAGCCGGCAACTTTGCGGCACCGCAGAACCTGCTGGCTCCACCTTCTAGGTGTCTTGGCCAGAAAGAAAGTCAGCGCTTGCTGCTCCCTTTCGGGTCTGATCTTACCAGAGAAATCATTGGTCCTGCGCTAACCACAGGCCAGTTCCTGCGGCGCAGGAGGAATGCGTATTCCTTTCCTATGGTGCGGGCAGGGGCATGGCTGGATAACAACCACGATAAACGTCTACAATTGTAGCAGATATCACTAGGGACAACACAAGTATTGGTGAATCGTTGTTATGACAATCCAAGAGAAACCACACTTACAAGTTTACAAATCAAAGAAAGATGTGCACGAAATGCTGCATTTTACAGCGTGTGAAATGCATTTCCCTCTGGAGGGGGGAGAATGTATCCAGCAATTACCTGGCATTGAGTGTGCCTTTAATACACACGTGTACCCAGTGACAGACAAAAACGGTGAACCGGCATAAAGGCAGAGGAAATTCACATCATCGTCTCATGATGTCAGTGGTATAGGTACTCCCTGAACAAGACGAAGTTCCCTACCAAGAAGACCACAGGAAAGGCACATTCAACACACGTGAAGATAGCAAAATATTTCTTTTCCAAAGACTGTCATCAGAAATGGGATGTGTCTCATTTATGTACTACCTGCACATCTTAACTGCTAGCAGAGTACGCCAAGATCTCTCTAGGCCTACAGTCGGATTCTTCTCTATAAGATTTTCTTGGACTTAATTTCTCACATAGAACTCTGAGGAGCAGAGAAGAAATGTTGCACCAGCTCGTTGGTGAGCTGCCCAGGCTGGTGTCCGGTCCTTCCTGCTGCCAAAAAGTTTGGGAAGAGATACGATGGTTCACCTCCACGGTACCAGAGAGAGGCGGAATGCAGCCCAGGCACCCTTGATTTTCTCTGAAAATCCCATGGGCTTTTGCTATTTAAAACCTTGCACATTAATTAAGCTAAGAGGAAATAAGGGCGTATAAAAAAAATCTAAAGAAATATATTGTCATACATTTTAATTTAACTCTGCAAGAGAAGAGAGACTTTTTTTGCTCTGCAATTTCCTTTCCTTTTCTGTTCGTGATAAATCAGAACACATGGGCATAATAAGAATCAGTCGAGGTGGTGAGAAAGTCAGCAGAGGGCTGAAGGAACCCTTCCTTCAGCTTTTTGAAGTACCAAAAGCTGGGGTTCTCAACCTCCAGAGGTGCCCACGAGCATTTGTTTATTTACTCTAATGATGCACACAACAATCTACTTGCAGATCACTGAAAATCACCATGTAGGATGCTTGTGTCTGAAGGTGGAATCTTGGAAGTCACTTTCTCAACCTTGTCTGTCTCTCTCTCTTTTGCAGGGCAACAGGCTTTGGCTTCTTGAATGCCCTATGCAAAGCAGCAACCGTCCTTGGAAACCTAATCTTCGGCTCCCTGGTCAGCATCACTAAAGCCATCCCCATCCTGCTGGCCTCCACCGTGCTTGTGTGCGGAGGACTGGTGGGGTTGCGCCTGCCGGACACACGAACCCAGGTCTTGATGTAACGGGAAAAAAGCCATCCGTCCTGTGTTTCTTTCTCCTGCCCTGTGTCAACCCTCCCGACTGACTCAAGGCTTCAGATGTTTCAACTATAAAAAGGTGGTCAAATATCAGAACGCTAACTCTTGCTGTGACTAAAATTCAGATGCATGCATGTCTTGCCCCTTCAATGTGATTTTGCACATTTTTTTAACGCATTGATATTTTTCCTAACTGCGATGCTACTGCCTCCCAGGAATCAATGGAAGCATTTTTTCAAATGTTCTAGTCAGCCGGGCCTCCCTAAGCTTCCGCTCAGTGAAGGTTCAGAAGCTCAGAAGAGGACTGTGCTGCCGTAAGAAATAGATCCTGCTCCTGTTTCAACATCCACAGGAAATCTAAGTTGGCATATAATTGTATTTGTGCTGAGGAGAGGGATTCCTTTTTTTTTTTTTTCAAACAGAGTGATATTTCCTGTTTACTTAGAAAAGGATACCCAGCAATTCTTGCTGTGACAGCAGGGCCTTTCAAAGAAAACCATGTGGTACCAAACAGAGCTGGGTGGGGCTCTTTCAGGCATGACAATTGAGGTGACTCCGCTAACAAGAAAAATAAAGGCTGTGCACTTCGCTGCAAAGATCTGAGTGAGCTGCATAAGCAAGATTTCTGCCGGAAAGCCCAATTAAACTTCTAAAAAATAGGAGGAAAAGGGACCGTCAGTGTCTGTGATTGTGGCATGTGGATCAGAATGTCAGAAAATCAGATCAGAGAAAGAGAGCTTCTGCCTCCATTTACCCCGCGTCTCCCCACCTCCCCCAGCTGCCGCTCGTCTTGCCAGAGAGCAGGTGCAAGGAAAGAAAGCCACCTTCTAAAACCTGGGTCTGCCTACCTGGTCCCGCCGGCCATCCAGACTCTCTCCAGTCCAGAGACTGTCAGTCATCTGAGTTATACATTGCAAGTTAGGAAGAAATTCACACCTAAAGCCATTTGGAAATGCAAAATGATACCTCGAGGGTACCACTTTCCTGAGGAACAGTGCCCCCGGGTAGTTGATATTGGACTTTCTGGCTGGCATCACTGAAGTGGGTCCCGTTCCTCCAGTTTCCGCTGGGCTGGGGCACTGGGCACTGTGTTCCTGGCTGCCGGCTCTGTGTGAAATCACAGCCTGCCATTCTCCAAGGGCCCCTCTAGCAGACAACGGCAGCATCTCCTGGTGGGTTTTGGCTGCTCATTTTACCTCTGAATCTGCCGGGCCTGGAAGAGAGAGGTCAGCAGGACATTCCCACGGGCTGGCAGCTCCGTGACCTTCTCACCCCTCGGGCCTGCCCCTCCTCCAAGCTTGTCCTTTTTACTCATCTTCTTTGAAATTGGCAGCCTCCTTGTAGACTTGCAGTGATGACCAGCAGCCAGGAATAAATCCCATATCAAAACATTCCTTTTTTACTCTCTGTCCTGTTAGAGGGTTATCTTCATTACTTATTATAGGCATTTCCAGCAGGCCACAGCCCTGGGGCCTCGGGGAGGGGACTGCCTTTGTTTGCAGTAGTCATTACATCCAAAGATGTCTTAACCCCAGAGGCCACTCTGCCTCCCTGCTCCCCCCACCCCACCCCGCAGTGATCCTCCTGGAGCTCCAGACTGCAGGGTTCAGATTCCCTGAAAAGCTGCTTTCATTAACATAAGCTATTAATCACCTCCCCCTTAAAGTAGTTCGAGTCTGTAGAGGGGGCAGCCTGGGGTGGGGGGCTGGCAGGAAGAAGGTGCTTCCCTGGGGACACAGGCTCAGAGCCAGAACATCAGGAAAGTTCAAGCCAAAAGCTACAAAGGTGGCAGGAAGAAGGAAACTCAATAAAAACTAGATGAGATCTATGAGACTGATATCAGCAAAGCAGGGAAGAAACAGAACCTGCCCTCCTCCCCTGCCCTGCCCCGCCTGCCCCCTCCTGTGATTTATTGGAGGACAAAGATGGCAGTCAGACAACCCAAGAAGGTACCCTTCTGTTACTCCTCTTCCATAGGTATTTGTTCCCCACCTACCTACCCCTTGATTTATCTTGTTAAAAAAGACCTATCTGGGGACCTGAGCAGGTTTTTCTAGTTGAACGTAGCACGCGCAGTGATAACCGCAGACGTGGGATGTGTGTCCCCGTCAAGCCATTCAACAGAAGATAGAAATGGGCACGGAGGCCGCTCTTGAGCCTTCCATGATGGTTAACTTTGCTCCCTGGGCCACCTTACTTTGAGAAATGTCTGTTGTGGCTCTAAATGCATAAAATATCTCCCAAGCTGCAGAGCGCAGTGTACACGGAATTTTGCTCGCACGCTGAGTTGGGTCAGAATAGGAGGAACCAGCAGAACCCCACCTCCTGAGACCTGCCAGCGTGCCTCTCCAGAAGGGCTTTTCTTGGCCTTCTTGTCACCTAATCCGAGCCCCCCAGGTGGCCCAAGAGGGGTCTATTCTAATTTCCTGGACAGTCTGTGGTCACAAACCTTCTTGGTCACCACCTCTTCCACCTTCCGTGCAGTTTTCTCTGCCTCCCCCATGTTGCTCCCATCACCCTGATTCCCTACGAGAGAGCTCAGGTTGTTCCCAAATATGTGGTGTGGCCTGTCTGGCTTGTCCTGGGTTGGCTGGAGTAAGACACAGCCGTGCGAGTAAACAGAAACTCTCAGTTCTATCCGAATGGCAACTGGCACAGGACATGCAACCAGCCTCCCGTTTCATCCACAGTGGAAGGAAAACGCGAGTACGTGCAAAGAGAGAGCCTAGGGGACAGTCCCACTTGCTCCGATATCTCTAACTCCCTTTCTGTCTAAAATTTCCTCACAGCTCTTTGGAATCCATCCAGAATGCTCCTGAATCCTTTTATTATCGCTGGGTCCTCTCAGTAGGAAAAAAACTCAGCTGCTCTAAACTGTAAATCCTGTACCACATTACACCCCAAGTAATGGGTCTTACAGCACCCAGCTCGCCTTCAACCCTGCTGCCTTGGAAGCCAAACCCAGCAGCCAGGGATCATGTGACACCCAGAGAGAAGATGGAAGGGTCCTAGGCCAAGCTCCACCACCAGCCAACAGAGACCCAGATCTTGCTGGGGAGAATGGAGGGCACTGAACATCTCTGGTCCTCAGTTTCCCCGTCTGTTGAGCATAGACTTGCAACTAGTGCAAGATTCTAGAGGATCTTCATGAAAATGGCTTCATCTTATTAACTACCTTCTTCTGATGCTAACCTCATCTTTACAAGGGCCAAGTAGGTTTAGTTTAGAAACTGAAAAATTAGGAAATAGGCAAGCATGCAGGAGCTCAGAAAGTGGTTTGGGAAGCCCCTGTGGAGTAGTCCAGAGAACACAGTTCCTGTGATGTTTGTGCTGCCAGCTTTTTAGGATCCTGAGCATCATCTCCGTTCCACACTGGCTTGACAGTTATCATTGCCTGCCCAGGAAAGGGACCCCCTCCCACCCCCCGCCAGCAGATACACACGGTTAGAAGACTCTCTGATCGCAGTACTATTGCAAAGGCCGTGTCTTGGAGCTCCCCGGACTCTCTACCCCGTTTTACTCTTGAAACGTGGTCTTTAGTAGACTGAGGCCGTCAGAAACAGTCTTTAAGTGATTTCACCAAAGTTGGCAAATGCACCTTTATTTACAAATCTCATGAAATCAGAGTTCAGGTTTGCACCAAAAACTGCTTAGCCACTTCTCTGAGTGTCTTGAGATATCAAGGGAGAGATGGGAAAGGTAGTGACAGAAGAGAGGGTCTAAGACATCATTGAGAAGGTTCCAGAAAAGAGATTCAGGCACAGCGAGACTTTCTAAGCCCTGGGATCATTTTAAAAGCATTCCACGGGAACACCTTCTGATTGCCTCTGCCAACAAAAATAGAATATGATATTCTCCATTTTTTTCTGTTTAATATCAAAATGGCCTTTACCTATTTTTTCAATAAAACAACTCACCTGTATATGCATTACAGGCTCTGAAGCCGGAATGTCTGAATTTGGCCTTCACCTGGTATCACAGAAAGACAACTGGTTAGTGGTTAAGGTGTATATTGGCTGTATTTGGGTTTCCTTTAACCCCATGACATGCTGACCTTAGTCCACTTACCAGACCTACAAAAACACCTGTCATGTTGCAACAACAAAAAGCACTCAGCACAGGCGGGCACTCTGAAGTGGATGGTACATTTCTTACAGTTTTTGTGTCTGCCAAGCGAAGTGTATTTTGAGTAAATCTTCTCCCGTATTCTGTGTAATGTAGTCAAAGAAAACTGTCGGTGTCTCCTGGATGTGTTGTGTGTCCCTCATCATTCCAGGCAAGGAGGACAGCTCTCCATGGCACGTTCTCTTCCTCCAACTCCTGACCATTCCTGCATCGACAGTCTCACCACGGCCGGGGTTTCCTCAGTCTTTCTCGAACATTACCTAGAGCCAGTTCAGTCATCCGGGATTTGGAGTTATGAGGATGCCGTTCATGGTCTGTTTAGGCTGTTGTTTACGGCTGTCAGGGCGGGGCCAGGGAGGCAGCTGGGCAGAGGCTTCCCCCATCTCCTGTCGGCTTGTGGAATTCTTCCAGAAGCATTTGAGGAGCGCCTCCCTGCGCTGGGCTGAGGCTCTGTGCTGTCAGCAGGTCGTCCACCCTTAAATGGGAGCAGGGGAAACAGGAAGTGAAAGAGAAACCCTCCATGATGGGGGCCTCATGCTGACCCCATTACATGTTGAAACCCCCTCCCCACAAACACAAAGTGTTATTTTTCCAAATTTAAGAGAAGTAATAGCCTGTGATGGGCAGTGCAGGAGCTACTCAGAAATTGGGAAATCTTTGACAGGAGGAGAAAGCCCCCAAACTGCTTGGCCTCTGTTGGAGGGACGGCTAGCCAGTCCTTGGAAACTGAGAAAAATGGAGCCACACGTGTGCAATTTCTGTAAAAGTCTCAACAGGAAATCCCACGAAGGTACGATTCAAGGAGGAGAATCAGCAGCCCTATAAAGACAGCCCCAGTTTTATACAGATTTTCATTTTTAAAGTCCCCATTTCTTCCGAGATGTTCTTTTTATGGCCTGAAACTCAAGGTGGGGGGCTGGCGGGTCTGTTCCCAAGCCGGCAGCCCTGGCACTTCCCCTCCCTCCCTCCTGAGTGGAGTCAGCACTTCCCTCGTCCCTCTGCTGCTGCCCTTTCCCCCGGCCCCAGCTTGCTGGGGTTCCCTCTCTGATTGCAGAGACGTGTGACCGAGTCCACTGTCTCTGCCGATCTCCTCAGGCAGCTTGTCCCCTCGACCCTCAGCAGATAAGCCACCCAGAAAACAGGTTCTGACAGTCAGTAGCAGGAGATTTTCAGATTTCAGTTTAAAACCAGTGCATGGTTGTCACAAGGTGTCTGGAAGCTGCAAAAGATCTTCGGGGTTCTGGGGCCTGAGGGGAGGCAGAGCAGAGAGAGGGCGCTTGGCACTGACCCTCCACGGTCCCCTCTGAGAGCCCACGGCGCTCTCCTCCTTACCTCCTCCGGGCGGTACACACTCCCATCCTCTCCCCTCTATTCTTCTTCCTCCTCTCCTCCTCTCATCACCTCTTGACTCTAGCAGTGTGCAAAAGCAAGGCCGAACTTTGCTGGGGCATTTGGGAGTCAAGAATGTGCCGCCCCTGCCTGCAGTGGAGGCCCAGAGGGTGGAGGACACGTTGGACGGGAGGGGGTGCAGGGCTGTGAGCTCTAGACTGGTGGCTTTGACACAGCTCCCTGTGCTGGGCTAGGTTTCCAGCTGCTTCTCAACTCCGCTGGGGGATGGGATGGGCACCACTGGCGTGAAATCAGAGAGGCTCGTTTCTGGGGCAGAAGTCTGAGAGCATTTGACTCCTGAAACATGAGGAAGCTGCAGCGAGGTTCTTGGAAGTCATTGACTGTGGGAGGTGGACCCACTCCCCCAGGCCTACAGAGGGTCCTCCTTGGTGCTGAAGGCTGGGTGCTGTCCATTCAGATTTAAACGCTGTAATTGCAGAGATTGTCCCCTCTCCCCTACCCTACCACATTCCATGTCCCCTTAGAGCCCAGAGTGCCCAGAACGAGGAGGAGAAAGCAGCTCTCAGCCCTCTGTTCGGACTCAGACAGGGTTTCACAGCAAGCCAGTGGCCTACCCTAGAAGCAGGGACGTGGGGTCCTAAGCAGCCTGGAGAGTGACTGGCCGAGGCTGCTCACAGGGGCCAAAGCCATCGAACACCAGCGATGTGCTGGAGCAAGCTCACACCAGTTCATCAGGGCCAACTGTTTCAGGAATTTTGTGAGCCAGTTGAGAAACACAGCCGCTATAAAAATTAAATTGTGTAAACTTAGAATTAAATACATTTAAAAACAAAGATAATAAATATTCAAAACTCATCCCTTTCTGATTACTTACTCCCTTTTAGTATTATCGATGCCTTGGAGTTAATGTATGCCTGCTGGGTCTGTATGGTAGAAATGCTGTACAATGGTGTGCTGCTGTGCACATCTTCCCAACTTTGGGTTCGGTGGCATCACATCTGTAGCTTGAAATCGGCCATGATGAGAGTATTTGTACCATGGCAATCCACAAGCTCTACAAATCAGGCTCCTCCCCCCAGACGGCTGTTCATCGTTTGCCTGCACACGGCCGCCTAAAACCCTGACCAGTACGTGGCTCCCACTGCAAAGACCTAGGCCAAACCCAGTTAAGTCCGGTGGGTTTGCAGTCAGCGTTGCCCATAAGCCCGAGGGAAGGAAAGACTTAGCAAGCTCAACCTCACATCAGAACACAAAGGCTTTCTTTCTCCCTTTGTATCCACTCAGCATAGGACCCACCTTCAGGGAGAATGTGCAGTAAATTGGCCGTTAGGCTATGTAAACAAAAATAAACTCGTTTGAAGTCACGAAGTGTCTCCCCTCTCACCCCAAGTAGGCGTCCAGGAGGGAAACTCCTTCCTTGCCTTTGACAGTCCCCAGGCCTGCCTGGATGGAACCGGAGAGATTGGCTTCGTCTCGTTTCCACCACTATTGTGATGGGTTTATTGTACTGAGTCTGTGTCCTAAATCAAACAGAAGAAAGAAGAAGTGTTCTTTCTTGATCTGTGCTCTCGTAGCGTCCAGAATGCCGTAATGCAGCCTCGCCCTGATCAGGACCGTGTTGAACAGATCCTGTGTCCTTCACCAATGTCTAGATACTGTGGACAAGGTCCTAGAAGAGCTTTTGTTTCCGGTGAAGCTCCATTTGGACCCACGCTAACCCGCAATCCTCTTCTTTGCACTGAGAGCTTGGCAGTGGGCCTGTCCTTGGTTTTGACGTTTGGGCGTTTTGCTTTATTTTGTCTTGTTTCTTTTCTGTTTTTACTGCTCTGTAAGACCTCCTGCTGTGAATGTTCCAGTTACCCCGATTGTACCGTATCTGTGTGCTGCATGTGTGAACTCCAATAAGTTCTGTTTCAGGTTTCTGGAGTTTTCATCCTAAGTACAACTGGTCCTGTTGTGAACTCATCTTTCTGGTATGCTCCTCTGTGTCTGATTCCCGATTGCCAAAATGTTTGACCAAGCGTGTTTTAACAAATGTCGCGAGACAGCCATGCGTCTCCTTGTGAAAGGGCATGCACCGTGCAGGACGCCCTGTGTGCAGCGGAAAGCTATCAAATGTGGAAGTGTGTACACATTTATACGCCAGATACCTAATATTCATGTAACAGCTGCAAAGATATTTAATGTACATCAGATTAATAAAAGAGCATTTTTTGCTCCATTATATTCAAATAAAGACTGCTGTGTGACTGACTTCCCTTCCAAGCACGAATGGATCCTTAAAAAATAAGTCCTTTCTTTATGTCCTCGGTCATAAAGAAAACCTGTTTCCCTTGACTCAGACTTATGTGAATTGTTTCTGTGGGTTGGCGTGTCATGGGCATTGAGGTATCGTTGATATTGCAGGAACACTTTCCAATTGTTAGCCAGGACCATTGGGAAGAAAACGTTTGTGGGGGTGTTTGTGGCAAAGCAGATGCTCGAGTTCTTTTGTCCTAGAACAGGAACAGCGAACACATTGTTATGTGGCACATTAACTCCTGCTGATCGGTAGTGGCTGCTTGCAGCATTCGTTTCAGAAGAAAGATGAGAAAAGTGCTGTATTTTATAGCATTGGCATTGGAGGCAGAAATGCAGGCTGCCTGCCATGGATTTGCTAATCCCAAAACAATACTTCGATTGCATTTAACAGAAGACTCAGCTTCAGATATCTTTACTAATGAAGGGAATTGTTGCTTCGCAGAACAAAGGAGGTAGGACAGTCCCAAGGCTGGTTATGACATGCCGCATCACTGAAGACCCACGTTCTTTCCGTGTTTTAGATCAGCCATCCTCAGCTACTGGCTTTTGTCCCCTTATGGGCATGGGATGGTTCCAGCAATTCTAAGCATTAGATCCTCACAAGAGAACCCAAGGGCCAGCAGAGGGACTATCCCCTCCTTATGACACTTTCTAAGACCGAGGGGAACGTTCCAGACTCCTCCAGCAGACTTCCCCCTATGTCTCACTGGCTGGATTTGCATCATTTGCCTACTCCTAAACCAGTGACTAGGTTTAGGAGAGTAATTATATTCTAAATAATTATTGTAACTGGCTTACACTAATCAAGATTCACCTCTCCCCAGAGACCCTGGGAGCAGCTCGCTCTCCCCTGAAGCGCACGGCTTCTGACTGCCTGGACACGACTGGGGCCACGTGAGCCGGGAAGGGGAAGGTAGCTATTGAGCAAGCAGGTAAAGCCGGCCCCGAGCTCTAGAACTGTGCTAAGACTGTAGCCACGTGTAGCTATTCATATTTACAGTGAAAATAGCCAGAATGGAATTAAGAATTCAGTGCCTCAGTCACACTCAACCACATTTCAGGTGCTCAATTACCACGTGAGTAGTGGCTATCCTATGGGACAGCGCAGATACAGGACATTTCATCCTCACGGGAAGTTCTGTTGAGTAGCGC